CTAAGAAGAACATTTTCCAGCTCCATCCATGTGAACATGAAGGACGTAAAGTCTCCATCTTTCTTTATGGCTGCATAGTATTCCATGGTGTACATTTATGGCTCTTATACAAATTAAAAGTTAATACTATCAAAGATTTTATTTCATTCATTAATGAGGGAACTATTAAAGTGTTAAAACTATTTTGAAGGAGATTTCAAGGAACCACACACATAGAGGAAATGAGGAATAGTGAAATGTTTTTACAAAATGATGCATGGGTTTATCTCTCAGGCAGTAATCAACTATGTTCCACTGGACACAATTCATTTGACTTTTTTTACAGAAAAGAATCTTTTTGATTATGTTAGTTTTCTAGAACTTATGGATTTGCACAATAGCTCAAAGACAATAACTGGTGAAATTGCCCAAAAAGGTGCACCAGGCAGGATACTCAGTAAAAAGTCTAGGAATCTTTTTTGCCCATTTCAAGTCTTTTACAGTCTTTCCTGACAGCCACCTACCTCCTCTCCTGTGATCATAACAAACTCAAAAATGAAACTAGATATTAACCTCCAAGAGTAGAAGGACGTGATTTGGTTTTAATTAGTATACATTTAGTATGTTCAGAATTATGTGTACCCTACATGGTTGATGTTGGGCAAGGTTAGTGGAAGAATGAATTTATGAAATAAATTACTTCCTGAGAAGGAAAGAACAAAACAAAGCAACTCGTCCCACAGCAGATTCACAAATTACTAAAATGCATGTTATTTTCTTTGCCAAGGAGAAATACCTAGTGAAAGAACTTCTTTGCTCTCTGTAAAATATTAACACTTAAGATAATGAGCATATATGAAATGGCAAAGGTTTTTATGAACAGTCATCTATTTCGCCAGCTGAAGCAAAGGCACTGAGGTTCTATACTAAAGGAACATGATTTAACTTGCTCTAAGAAGAGGATTTGAACTAAATTGTATTTGCACTAATGTAGTTAAGACGCACCACTCAGGGACTAGAAATTAGAAACATCATATTTCACATGAAAAGGCATTTTATTTAAGCCTTGTGATTTGTGAGGGCTACGGGGAGAATGAAGGTGCTGTCCTGAAGCCAGGCTTCAGTAGGTATGAGAAGGAAGAGTTTGTGCTTGGGGTCAAAGTCCAAGAAGTACACATGAATATATTCACAGCAAAGTGTCTGTTTCAAAGGTCATAGGGGAAGGAATTTAGGGGGATGGGGATGGCCAATAGAATGAGAATTCATGTCAGGGAATGAGTAGGGCACGTCAGGATTGGATAAAAATAAAGGTAATAACACCAAGAAGAAGGGATAGAGTGAAAAAATAAAGGAGATGATACTTAGAAAACAGGTTATAGGAATTTCAAGGCTGTAGAATTTATGTGGTTGGGTAAAATAGTACTAGTTCTCTACTATTTTTATAGCACTTTCTGGTTTGCCTGGTATATTCTTATGCATCGGTAACATTTAATTATCAACACCAATAATTTTTTAGTAATTATTATTATCCCTCATTTATAAATGAGGAAGCTCAGGGAGGTTAATTGATCTGTTAAGCCCTCCGTGGTAGAAAGAGAGAGTATTCACACCTCTGGAATGAGGTGAGGGAATGACCAACCAGTTCTGTTATAGTTCTTCTGTGAACCCCAGTTTAATGCCAGTTGTGGTTGAAAGATGTCCAGGATAATTGACACCAGTTCACCAACTGGGGATTCTAGTAGTTGAGCAAATTTAATCTGTATCTGAGCTAGAACTTCAGAGTACATTCCAAACCTAGAGTGAGGAAGTAGCAAAAGGTTGATCAACCAGGTAGGCAGAATGAGAATGGAGTGAACCTTTTCTTTTTTTTTTTTTTGAGACAAAGCCTCAATCTGTCGCCCTGGGTAGAGTGCTGGGGCATCACAGCTCACAGCAACCTCCAACTCCTGGGCTCAGGCGAGTCTCCTGCCTCTGCCTCCCAAGTAGCTGGGACCACAGGCACCCACCACAACGCCCGGCAGCCATTATTGTTGTTTGGCAGGCCCGGGCTGGATTCGAACCTACCAGCTCAGGTGTATGTGGCTGATGCCTTAGCTGCTTGAGCCACAGGCGCGGAGCCGAACCTTTTCATTTTTCTCTGAGTTGTATCTTAACAGTGGTGTTCATTATTTTGTGGAGAGGTTTGTGCTCCCAGATTATCAATATTTGGTTATGAAAAAAGAAAAATTCCATCTTCTGATAAAAACATACATTTAATCCTTGCTGTGGATTATCTGAATGGAGTTCACTTTCAGGTCCATGAACAATCATGCCTCAGCATAGATTTTTACTTGCTAACGGAGGTTTCCTCTGATGGCCTGGTGTTGGTCTGCAGATTCATAGCTATTATTATCAGGTTCTAGGCCTGGGCTATCCAGTACTGTAGCCACATGTGATTTTCAAGCACTTGAAATGTGGCTAGTAAATAACGAGGTGTACTCTAAGTATATAAAATATATACCAAATTTCAAAGACTTAGTACAAACTAAATTGTGAACCAAATCAATCCTGATTACATGTTGAAATTATATTTTCTTGGGTATGGTGGACAAAAAATTATTAAAGTTAATTTCACCTGTTTCTTTTTACACTTTTAGTGAACTCAAAAATTTTAAGCCCCTCAAGGAGCATAGTATATTTCTATTTTCCAGGGCTGCTCTGGAGGTAGATGAAGTCAGCTTGTGTAGTATGAATTCAGTAAAGGTCATGAAACACCTTCAAGGACTCTCTCTCCTCAGCTCATTGGAAAATTCCAGTTAGAACTTGACTTACTTGGTTTCAATTAAAGAAGTCTTTGTTAACAACTTCACCCTAACCGCACCGCTACTAAAACTGCAGATGTTTCCAAGTCAAAGTAATGGTTTTTTTTAAAAAAACTTCTGGATTCTGAAACCACCATGGCAGTTAGTTCTATGGAACTATGGGCAGTTTACTGAACAGGCTCACGTTCTAGTGTCTTCCCTCCCTGTGCTCACTGCATACTTCCGCCTAAAGAACTTCTACTTGTCCTTCCAAATAGCTCAAAAATTGCCTGAGCAGAAAAGCAGCCTTGAGTTCTCACTGTTGCCCTTCTGTGCCCATTGTGCCCATATTTGCCTTTCGTACAGAACGTTTCGCACTACGTTGGGGCTGCGGGTGTCCTAATCTGCTTCCCCTTCCTATCTCCAGCACGTAGCACAGTAACTGATACTTTTAAGTTGTTGGCCAATATTTGTTGAATCAACAAAAAAAATATATCAAGTTGATAAATTTGAAGCCACTCCTGGTTCATATTTGCTGCTCCCATTTTTCTGTTTTTTCTTTTTTGAGACAG